GTTTTTTGTGGCAGTTTTCAATAAAAAAAAATAATTTCATTATTAGGCCTGTAATTACCACAAGTAGCATTCTGTTTAGTGATTTGAAGCTTTTATTTTCCCCGAGCTTTTCCATGTATGGAACTTGATTTCTCTCTTGGACTCCATCTATTTCATTGCTTTTAATCAGTATCGTTGACAACGGTCGATGCATGTGAACTTTCGCAATGGATACATGTTAATATTTGTTGAGAAGAACTGATTATCTGTATTACTTCCGATGTTGTTCAGCAACTTATGATACCGGGGAGAAACATTGATGGGATGGTGAAAGAAAATGGAAGATAGAGTTGAAAAGTCGAAAGGAGTTCAGCTGGCGTCGTAGGTTTCATGATGAGCCAGACATTGTTTCTGTCAACAATCCAAATGAGCACTTCAATCGTAAGATTGAGAGAGATTTCCGGAATTACGCTGTGAAAATAAAAAAAAACAATCTGGAGCGTGGCACTCCTCTACCTGATTGATAAACTAGAATATAGCCTCCGATTGTGACGATCTGCACTAACATTTCTGGTCTCGGTTTTCAGTGTGGAGCATGGTAGACTATGCTAGACATTCTCATGCTGCGGCAGTGGTAACTTTTGTTGATTTTTTCGCATTTTTTGGGCACAAATTATTATTGAATCCCTTATTAAATCATGAAATAGTTGCGCCACCTGATCAGGTGCAGTTTTGTTTTGTTTTGTTTTGTTTTTTTTTTTTTTGAGATTTTTTCAGATGAATCTCGGTCGATGTGACACAACTTTTTTCTGGAATACTCTTGTGGTGCTGCCTCAATTCATACTTTGCTTAGTAATTTCGCTTTGAGTTTAAAAGCAGTATTAGTCTTATTCATACTTAACTTTTGAATCTTCTTTTCTTCATTTTGTCTTGTAAAATCGATAAGTATTAGTATGTTGATGTCGCCACAGAAAGATGAGAAAGGGAAGTTTTGTTCTGGTCACCGAAACAAGATTTGAGAAAAAGTTTAAAAGGAGATAATATATTCGTCTGTGTCACTTGGTGGATCGTAACATGTATTTGTTGTACCGTGTCTGCCGCAGGAGTCGAGCCACTCTGCCGAGTCCGATACCTTGTCGTCTTCATCTGGACTTTATGAACCTTCTTCTGGCTTACCCTCAACCCTGAAATCATTATGACGGCAGAATTGTTCAGTCGTTTGTAGGTAAAGTGATCCTGGAGCCTGTACAGTTCACCTTTTTCAAATCTGCGTTTACAGTGCTTCCTTCTCAGTCGGATCAACTTCGTGTTTCTCAAAACTATCAGCTGTGTAAATTGATTTTCCAAAGGTCATATGAGTCTTTCCGTGTGACGCTAGAGTATGGAGAGTTATGATGTGTGAAACATATGAGAGCTTTTGATGACCCTCCCTCAAATCCATTTTGTGCTACAAGTTTTACAATTTGACTGTTTCTTATGGCCAGTGCAAGAATTGGGTGATTTCCTGGACTAGCTTTGCAATGAATGAGTGGACTTGATTTATTAACCTCGCTGTCCTGCAGCATTTCTTGTTTTCTCATTACGATGTAAATTCTTTCGATAGAATGAGTACTTGGGTCGGGTAACGGAGACAGATGTGGAGAGTCCGAGTTGTCAATAATGTCCACTATTTCAGGTAAAATCTTGACCTTATCAAGTTTGAAGCGATGGGGCTTGCAGGTTCATTTGAGTTTCTCCCTCCTGTCCATCTTTTCCATTTGCACCATGTCACTGATCTCTGGAAAACCACTCATCTTTTCACTTGCATTATTTCAGTGTTCTACGCCGTTGTTGCCAGGATTCGATGTGAGTGATTTTCTGAATTGTAGTTTGTAATTATTCATCTGCCATGGACGAAGAGCCTTCTTGGACGTCATGTTATCTTCCATGCATTGTTTCAGTTCTATGTGCGAAGGCTGTTCCTTCGCTATCTGTCATGCAAAAGGATTCGGAATTTATGTACAAAATAAGTAAATATATAAATATATAAATAAATATATATGTATATATACACAAGAAGTTTTTTATTTTTTTAATTTTTAATTTAATTTAATTTAATTTTTTTTGTATCTTATAAGTTTTGTATTATATTTATTAGAATCATCATGACTGAGTTACCGTAGTTTACTCAATTACTACCACTTTCAACATTTGATACTGTAGATTTGCCCAATCACAAGTTATATTTTATTTTGTTGTATATTGTATTAAATGCCAAAAACCTTGAATGGTACTATGAGGGATTGCTTGTTCTTTGTATATTCCAATGATTTTTTTAGAAATAAAATGCTACATAATAAATATAAATACAAAAAATGTACATTAAAATTATAATATATTTAATTAGATATTTTAACATGTCTTAAAAAAAACATGAAATTTATGTTATCTATTGCTATTTCTTATGGAAACTATATATTTTGAAATGTGATAAATAGTTACATATTTTTATAAATTAAAAAATGCTTATATATATATTTTTTAAATACTTAAAAATTTAAATATTTTATTTTTTAGTCTTTATTTTTTACTTTTTAAAACATGAAATATAATTTAATCACCAAAAAAATATACTTTAATCACCAAAAAAATATACTTTTCTAAAAATAAGATATCTTCAAATTTTAACTAGAATAATTTGAAAGAATGTAAAATAATAAAAAATAATATTTTTCTACAAAAATAAATTTTAATTAGGAAAAAAGATAGCAATAGCTTAAAATATGTATAATAAGTAAAAGATCTAAAGAAGAAGAATTCTAGCTTCTACTTGTAAGGATTTGATTGTATTAAAGTTATTATTTTTTGTGCATAAATACAATAGTGATTATTCTCATAAGGTATTCATAAATGAATGGAAACCAATGGTCATTTTTGTAAGATGAAAAAGAATAGTAGGATAATAGTTATAAATTTTGGAGAACAACACTTTTTGATAAAACTATTGATATACACAACTTTGTTAATATTCAAATTTCATATTTATATAAATATTCAAATATAATTTTTTTCAGACTTTAACAACATAATGTGATTGTTTTTTTTAGAATGATATTATTTCATAGTTCTTGATTTAATAGTTTTTTATGAAAATTTCATAGTGTTAATAATTTTAATAATTTAAGATTATTTTTAATTTTTTTATGTTTAAACCATATAAACATAGTTTTTAAACTACATCTTTAGGTTTAAATTAAATATTAGTATATTTATTCAACATCCAAAATTTTAGTAGCATGTTACTTTTATTATATATTCTCTAAGTTTTGGTAAAATAAAAAATTGAATAAATAATAAAATGAATACAAAACATATACAATTTGATAAAATATACTTAATGAAAGTTTTGGGCTAATACAAAAAATGAAGATATTGCATGGTTTTAAAGATATGACATCTCAATCATCAACTTTTTTGATATTTTTGAATTCTATATATATAAAAAATTCTTTAATAGCTTCCATCATCTTCTATAAATAATCTAAAACCTATTTGTACAATGTATATTAGCTTTTTGCAAACAATCACTATTTAATTAATTTTGAACAAAGTAACCAATCATTAAAAGTTTATAACCAAATACATTTTTTTGAATGAAAGTGATTAGGTGGTCATGAGTGTAATTCACAGCTTTTTTATTACTTTTTTGAATAAAAATGAACCAAAATAAAGGAAAAAAGAAACCCAACAACTAATACTTGCTAAAATCATTGACTCACACCATTTACACGTCTTTACTATACAAATCCAATCCAATATATATCCAAAAGATCATTCTTGCATTATCAAATCTCTCAATGGCTCACAATTGAATGTGAATCACATGTCAAACATCCAAACCACTTTGCCCATCCACTATTCCAACATCACTAACTAAGTTAGCAATCCTTGTCTGTACACTAGACAAGACACACAAATAGCACTTACTAAACAACAAATCAACCAACAAACTGCTTGTGGAGGGAATGAAATGCAAGTGAGCCGAGCACCGTCCACACCCAAATTTAAGCTGCAAGCATAAGGGCTGCGTTGATGGATAAACTCTAAATTTTGAAAATTGGGTAAAAATTTCAACGTTCTTGCATGAATGGAAGCTGGATCTGATTCTGGTCCTGTTCAGCAAAGGAACTTGCAGCAGCAGCAGCAGCAGCAGAGAAAGCTTGGACCGCACTCTGCGAAACCTTTCATTCTTCGAGGTGGGTTTCGAAGTTATGATGCTGTGGAACAGAACTGTTTGTTGCTGTCATGGAAGAACGGTATTTGGAAGGATGGGGTCAATCAGCATCGAGGAATGTGCGACACGAGAAACGCGAGATTTATTTGCCGTCTTGGAAGGGTGGCCGCTCAATCAGCCATGCAACAAGCGTTTCGGAACTGGGTGCGCCACCACAGGCTTCAAAATGTCATCTTCGCTGGAGTTTCTGAGCCGCAGAAAGCTAATTTTGATTACTTAACTACCCTTCCAATTCTTATCTTACACCTCGTCCACATCTGATTTACCACCCATTTCACAAACCCTTGAGATTTGTTTTGTTTTGTTGTGTGTGTGTTTTTTTCGAAAAGATGCTAATTACATGAGAAGGAAAATCGATGGTTCTCGGATTAGAGAGTCAACACGGACTCTTACCAAACGAGTCCTCGTGAGGAGATCGTTTCTCCTCAAAATTGACAGCAGAATGCAGGATTTTCAGAGTCAGGGGCTGCGCGGAACCAATTTCCCGAAAACGTGAGTGTGTCTCTACGAGGAAAGATTGTTTTCTGAGGGTTGTTTAATTTACTGACCCATTTTACGAATTTTCTTTGGATTTTATCCTCCTATTTTTCTGGTCCATTGTTCAGAGAATTGATAAAGGCCCCTTATCCTGGATGAAGCTCGGGCTGCCGTGGAGCTTTCATCAGCATCCCCAGAGAGAACCCCCATCCCACAATCCTGGGCTCCCCGTCACCCCACATTCTCAGCCTCGCGTTGGCCCTCTTAATTTAACCTCTACCACTTCCTTCAATTGCAGCTCATCCATCACCTTCACAGCTCCATTCCTCTTGGCGTTGTTCGCAGTCGGACTCGCAGCTGATAGATCTTGCACGAGCTGGTGGTGGTGGTGCCTGAGCAGTCATGGAGTACTACCCTGCGCCGGGGAGGAACCATTTGTTTGTTCCAGGCCCTACCAATGTTCCCGAGCCCATTCTGCGGGCTATGAACCGCAGCAACGAGGATCACCGCTCCCCCGCTTTCCCCAAGCTCTCCAAATCCGTCATTGACGATGTGAAAGAGATCTTCCGCACCAAAACTGCAACTTCCTTCATTTTTCCTACCACAGGTATGATCAATTCGCTGCTCGGTTGGATCCCAACATGGTTTGGCTCTCTCTGTGTTTGTCATCCTCGTCCTGTAGTTGCTGCAGGAGCAGAATTCCGTGAACATCTGAGTCGAATTTGTCCCCGAGGTAGTGACTGTCGTTCTCCAAAATCGCGTCGGAGGCTGTAGCTATCATCCGGGATGTGTTTCAGACGCTCTTCGGTCCTCTTTTGTTTTGTTTAGGTTCTCTGTTTTTTTTTGGAATGATTGTCTTTTCAGTACTGAAGGTTCTAGCGTTTGCCATGAGTGAAAATTGACTAATTAGAACTTTTCGGCTACTGCTTATGTTGTTTTCTTCGCAAGTTAAACGGGTCTATTGTTATACAGAGATACATGGTCGTCCGATTCCTCGCTGCACTATAATGGACCATTCTTATTCGCTTCAGTGTCTTAACTGAGTCTCAATTCGAGTTACAAGAATTTGGAATTTTGTGATAATGTTGCTTCGGGGGGGGGGGGGGTTCTGACTGGTCTAGTACCCCTCCAATCGATGAAACAGGAACAGGAACATAGACATGTCCCTCAGAAACGCAAAAATTGTGTCGTGTTACTGTGATAATTTTTGAAAGTTTCGTTGTCGTCCTGCATCGACTCTTACGGATATGGGTTGATCGAATTTTTCGTGTCAGGTACTGGAGCATGGGAGAGTGCCTTGACGAACACACTGTCACCCGGGGACAAGATCATCTCCTTCCGGCTGGGACAATTCAGCCTTCTCTGGATTGACCAAATGCAACGATACAACTTCGATGTGGACGTAGTTGACTGTGAGTGGGGTGCGGGAATCGATCTGGATGTCTTGAAACAGAAGCTGGTATCTGATCGTTCGCACTCTGTGAAGGCTGTCTGCGTGGTGCACAATGAGACCTCCACCGGAGTCACGAACGACATCGGTGCTGTACGCAGAGTGCTCGGTAAACGCTCTCCTCTTATTGTATCCGGAACTAACTTTGTGAAGAATGTTTTTGTGAGCGAATTCAAGGTTTAGAGTCGGAGAGGTCAGTGAGAATATGTGTAGTATGCGTTAGACATAAAAGCATATTAATTATCATTATTCAGCCAGGTTTGCCATATTCTAGAACCTTTATAATTGATTTAACGCAGCGAGTAGAATTTGCAAGAAGGTTCGAATATGTAGAATGAAGGAGATGCCTATTTAAAAGGATTTGAACTAGGTTGCAACGTCCAACTGCTCCTTCTTATTTAGACTTAAGGGTTTTCTTAAATTGCATTCCCGAAACACCATGACTGATTCTGTCGCAAATCACATGTGGTGATTGTTTCAGATGAGGCAAACCACCCAGCGTTGTTGTTGGTGGACGGAGTATCTTCAATTGGTGCAATTGATTTCCGTATGGACGACTGGAGAGTGGATGTCGCTCTTACTGGGTCCCAGAAAGCTTTGTCACTTCCCACTGGCCTTGGTATTGTTTGCGCAAGCCCCAAGGCTCTTGAAGCTGCGAAAAGATCCAAGTCAACCCGCGTGTTTTTCGATTGGGGTGATTACTTGAAGTTTTACGAAGCGGGAACTTATTGGCCTTACACTCCGTCGAGCCAGATGCTCTACGGACTCAGAGCCTCTTTGGACATGATTCTCAATGAGGAGGGACTCGACAACGTCATTGCCAGGCACTGTCGTCTTGCTGAAGCAACCAGGTAAAATTGTGTACTTGTTTTACAATCTTGCAAAGATCACTCTCTGGCTCAGTGACTACAGAAATTCTACGGCATCTGGGGATTTAGCGCCGGCTTAATCGATGAGGATCATTCTGTTTTGCAGGCAAGCTGTTAGGGCCTGGGGCCTCACTCTGTGCACCAAGGATCCCAAGTGGAAAAGTGATACCGTTACCGCAGTTGTTGTGCCTTCATGGATCAACAGCAACGACATTGTCAAGATTGCATACAAGAAGTACAATTTGAGCCTCGGAGTTGGCTTGAACAAAGTTGCAGGGAAGGTTTTCCGTATAGGACACCTTGGAAATGTTAACGAGGTATGTTTGCTAAGGACATGGGTGCGTTGCGCTACAATCTGCTTATTCAGAGCCTCCATGAAATATTTCCACGAATTGTTTCCAGACTCCCTCGTACAATATTTGCGAAATTGTGTCTTACTTTTCCATTTGTATCAATTGCTAATGTAAATTTACGAATTTCGCCTGTGTGCAGTTGCAATTGCTCGGAGCCTTGGCAGGAGTTGAGTTGTGCCTGATGGAGGTTGGATACCCAGTCACCCTAGGAAGCGGTGTAGCTGCAGCTCAGGCTCATCTCGCAAAGAAGACGCCCTTGATTGTGTCTCGTATATGAGCAGCTACCCCGGCATTTGATGATGTTAGAAATGTCTGGATACACCAGAGTCTGTGGCCGTCAATGTAATATTTTAGAAAGTCCAGAAGGGTGTCTGTTGAGTTGTTGAAGTGTTGTGTACAATCGCCTTAACTAATACTTTGGCACTAGATTACATTGCTTACCAAATGTATTGGTATCCCATTTGTATAAACGATCAATTCTACTCCCTGAACACAGCCCGCTGGATAATTTCCAAAACTTGTTGTAAACTGCATTTACAGTTTCAAACGTGTATTGAGTATACTGGGATTAATACGAACCTGAATAGTATGTATCATCCTAAATACTTCACTCCCTAACAACCGATTAAACACTATCATCAAACACACTATCGATGTCAGACATTCTCGACCACACATTCATGTGAAATTCAATGTCCACCTCGGATTTAAGTTTCCCGTAGATGGTCAAGAGCTCTCGGACAGTCTAATTTAACCAACAATTGTAAGAAAAAACTTATCTCGTAGGATAGGAGTGACTCCGTGCGTGCCAGAAAGTTGTCTGTGGATAAGCTTCTCCTTCATAGTGGACACTTCCATTCCATGTGTCTCCCGAAAATGTGGACATACTTTAATCTCCAGATTTATTAAAGACTGCTGACTTGCTGCAGTCGAAAGTAACGCTGTCCTGTCATTAAGAAGCCACAACTAAAGTTTAAATATTTGAACGTTACCTTTATTTCTATTTTGAAGTAATGGACAAACGGGTGTTGAGTTTCGAAATACATATGCAGTAAACGCAACAAAAAAAACACCCACCTATCAGAATTTTCGTGGTCTGATGCCACACTGGGTAATATTTTGCAGGAAGGTTAACAAACAGTGATATTGTTGAAAGGATTCAATCGAAAAGACGAAGTTGACAGACTTCCAAATGATATTTTTACAAGTGTTGTCGGTGAAGACCTCAATCTACTCATACTACGAAGCTCAAATGACACCATGTTTTTATGGATATTCGTCGTTGACTCTGAGCAGGGCATTACTTGGAATTCAACCAGTTTGTAGTGCACTCTTCAGAACTTTTCAAGTGAATTTTGAAGAGTGCCTTCGCTTGAATGAATTGAAACTAAACTCTGCTATTCACGTATTAAACCCAATCTATTGTTTCATCCGGAGCACAAGAAAACAATCTGATGCAGGTATGTCCTGAACTAGAAACAAAGTAAAATTGTTTGGTTCCTTCATTCAGAATCTTCAAGCTAAACCATGAATGTCCCGTTTTTTGTGAATTTCTGACTTTATTTTAGGAATTATTGGAATTTACACAACTTTTGCATATAAATATGTGATATCAAATCATCAACATTGGTTTTGAAACTTTGGTTATTCATAGCTTAGAACATATTAATGCTAATTTCAAGTTGTAGTTGTGTCTTATATTCCCTAAGTTGCAGATATGTATAAGTGGGTATGATCAAAATTGTATAATACATATTTTAGTATTGTGATTTATAGCAAATGAGTTGTATATGTGTTCATCTTGTGCATAAATTCATATATTGCTTAATGTTGTGACTTACTTCATGGACTTCCATGTTAACTTTAGAGGCTCTTTTGTTTGGTATCAAGTTCTAAGATTTGTAGCTCTTAATGAATTAGTTTTGAACCAAAGTAACTAATTTGCTATCACTCACTAAATTTTTAAAATTCCAAGAAAGAGGAGACATGAACATTAGGAAAAGATGGTGACAAGAACCACGTCTTATTTTTTTAATAAAATTTGTACTTTGTTTTTAATATTTTTGGTATCTTTGCTACATCTCCTTGAAATAAGAAAGCTTTATAACAAATATTTTTTAGGAAATTTGGCAATTTCTTCTTTGATGTTCTTGCTATTCAATATACCAACTTCAATTGCAACAAGTTGTACAATAGTGACTATTTTGTTAAAAAACTTTATCATTTGCATTTGTAGAAAGCTAAAGAATTTAGATACTTGTATCTAAATTTCTGGATTGCTTTCAACTTTGAAGGAAGAATTGTACCAAATCACTCAATTTTTATTATTAATGATATTATATATATATATATATATATATATATAATACTATAATTTTTAGTGATGGTTTTTGGTGTGTTTTACAAGAATTATTTATTAAAAACTTAAGAGATTTTATTCTTATGCAATAATATTATCAATGTACTTATCATTTATTAATTCAATTTATAATAAAATAAAATAAAATATTATTTAAATTATAACAAAAAAAATTAATTGACAAGTTGAATAATAAGATAGTATTTTTATTTTTTTATAAATAATTATATATTTTTAAAAGAAAAAATTATTCTTTTAATTATGCAATTACAATGAGATTCTAACATTGATGAAAATTATGAATTAAACAAGATATTTGGATTTGGTAATTAAGATTTTTGGTGGCATTAAATATTCAAAAACATCAACAAAAAATTAATAAATAAATAAAATCTTATCATATAATACATATGTATGATTTTAGTTTTAATATTGCATTAAAATAACGTTCCTATCATTGTATATTTTAGCTTTGTTATAAAGTTTTATTTTTGAAGAAATTTTTGCATAAGTTTAATTTTATTAACTTTATTTAATTGCATCTTTGTAATAAAAAAAGTGATCAACAAAGATGACATATTTTATTCTTTGCTACATTGGTATATAAGCAACTTGATTGTTTACAGATAATATATACTTTTACCATAGTTTGTTACATTAATAGTATATCATTTTCTAAAAACTAAGATTTGTCTCCAACTATTAAAAAAATTAGTTAAAATATAAAATGTAGACATTTAACTTGGTCTTATATTATGTCAACAAATCAATAGCCAAACCTAAAGAATTAATCAAGTCTTGAAACCATTTTGAGATTTGTTTAAAGTACCAATAAGACAATTTAACATTATATATATATATATATATATATATATATTTTAGCTACACTTACGTATAAAAAATTATGCATACTTCTGTGAAACAATAGATTAATTAATTTGACTATTTATATTATGTTAAACTTAACATGTTTTACAAGTTGAAAATAAAAAAAATCTAATGTGAATTCGTGCTATAAAATTATTATTCAAGTTACAAACCATGACATTTTAATTAGGTGAAACTCATGATTGATAGTAATGAAGATGATTTTTTGATACAACATTAGAATTACTCAACTTTGTATAAAATTTTGAATATCAAAAGATGATTTTTTTTTTATTTATTGTGTTATAAAAATAAAAATAAATTATCTTTTATTTGAGATATTCAATGTTATTTCTCTCAATATTTACCAATTTTATTTAAAGAAGCCATGGGCAATTAGTGATTAATAAATTTTTCTCATGAGTATTATTTGTTCAGCTCCTAGAAGAACCAATACGAGTTCCTTAACATGAAAACATGGACCAACGCACTTAAAATGAATAACTTTATGCTACCGAGTGAGTCAAGAATCAGTGCCTGTAGACATCACACATACCTTTGCAAAACATTATATTCATATCTACACGCACATGTATGCAACATGATAACATAATCTACTATTTCAATCTTGTTTGATTTATGAAATTAACTGATATAAAAAACCCCGCTCTTCATTTGACTCTACCACGTTATCATTGATTATGTGTGTGTATATATATATATATATATATATTTATTTATTTATTTATTTATAAACACAAATACATATAATACGAATTCGTCATTAATTTTATTAACATGTGCACAGTAACTTGATTTGATTATTCTGCAATAATAAATCTCAACATCTAAACTCCATGACAACTCGACCAATGCAGTAATGTTACGATTCAGTTACGCACAAATAGAGTTTGGGGCGATGAAATATGCCTTTTTTTTTATCATTGGTAGTAAATGAATAGTCAAAGATTCAGTACTAGGTCATGGCACTCAGAACTGGGAGCTGGCAGCATGCTCTACGTGAAAAAATGGTTAAACTGGCGTATAATCTGCGCATTGGTCAACACACCAGCCTTTTGGCAAGCAGTTCCAAGATCACAATTTCCTGAACTAGATCGATTACCTCGCATTCAAATTGACATGAACACTCTTTGATTGTTCGTTTTATTTATTGAGACAAGCATTCAAGAATATTAGTGCAAAAACGTAAACCATCTACTCAACCATTCACCCAATTACAGGTTTCTCTATTCGACGGTACGCTGATCTTTACTACACCGTTGAAATACACGAATAGGAATTCCTACTAGGCCAAAATCTTCTCGAAGAGCAGAAGCAATGAATCGAAGTTCAGTGTCGTCAAGCTTGCCTTGCCCACTCACAAATACAACAAATGTTGGCGGCCGAGCCTTAACTTGAGTTATGTACCTCACTTTAGCTCCATGACCCTCACCACCTTTCGGATGCCGACTCATGACCTGCAGAATGTACATCCCCTTGTCAATAATAAATAGATCAGTCATGCCTGGGTATACGAACAATCCAATCTAGAATTAATATGGAAAATTAGGCTGGAATAGGTTTATCAGGGACATTAGTTCAAATGACTAGAAGGGTCTAGAAGAAAAGATCACGTTGAAATTTGCGAATTGTAAGCAATAGTTTTCGAAAGTTTCGGGATCAATCAACGCGGCATCTTCGACAGTAGACTGCATTGCTTTCAGCAGTGAATCAGATTTGTGTATTAGCAGTCATGAGAAACTGGTTAAAGATAGTTCAGGTCAAGATCAGCAAAATCACCGAAAGTTAACTTACCTTGCGAATCCAACGATTGAGTTTCGCTGTTGGCAGCCGCACACACCACAGCCTATAACTTTCATTCACATGTCGCATTACAGCAGCCCGCCCCTTACCCTCGAGCGCAGATACAAATACGATAGGTACTCCCGTAACCTATCACATACAATGTAATACTCATACGTTCATAAATGGATTAAAAAAATACGTAAAAATGAAATGCAAAGTTAAAATATATTCTCGGAATTGTTCTATGACTTGAAATCAAAAGGCAATATTCATAGGAATGAACATCAGCAACGTAAGATGGGCTGGCACCTGTGGTAAGAGTTTCGTTATTTCTTCAGGAACAGCTTTCATGACAAGTGATCTTAACCGAGCATGCTCACTTCCCGCCAGCAAATCCATTTTATTAACCACAACAACGAGGCCTCTACCTTCTTGAACCACCCACTGAGCAAGGGCAGCTTCCGTATGCCGCATGCTTCTCTTAGTCTCAGCGATCTGCATGTAGAGCCCAGTTCCCAAAGTCAAAACCAAGCTTGAATTGGGAACCTAGATCGAAATAAACAGCATTCTTATAGTCTGATAGTATAGTAGTGCTTGATAGAAGTAGACAGCAGAAAGTTGTATAAATGTGATTCCTACATTGAGCACGATTTTTAACCACATTTTGTAGTGGCCTTTATTTGAAAGAACCAATCTTTGAGATTCTCAGCTAAAATTACGCGAATATTTAAGAGCGTGTGTCAGCCATTGATGTCTGTTGTTGAAAAGTACCTCTTGAGCATCCAAAACAAGTGTAACGACGTGGGCTCGTTGAACGTTGCGACGCGCATTCATTGCACTCAAAGCAGCAGGCCCCTCTTTCAACTTCTTTCGCTGCATCCAACCTGCAGTATCAACCTGCCAAGCGCCAATCCCCATGTAATAAACATGATGAAATTGAACCAAACTTAACTGTGAACTTACAGAAATGGTGTGAAGGAAGAAAAGGAAAGAAAATATTAAAAAAAAGCGTGTGAAAACGGTGCAAAACTACAAAAATAACAGGAAAATCGGAGAAACAAACTCACAAGGAAAATCTTCTGGTTTTCGTACTCAAATTCTACTCTAATAGAATCACGAGTCAATCCAGGCTCCGGCCCAGTCAACACACGTTCTTCCATTAATAGTGAATTAAGAAGTGTAGATTTGCCAACATTAGGACGCCCGGCTATTGCCAACTGCATTGGCACCCTCTTCAACTCGGCTTCACTCATCAATGCCTCGTTCTCTTCGTTCAAATTCAACTTGGTTTCAAATTCGTCAGTGTCACCAAGAGAAAGTCTTACTTCGCTATTGATAGAGATGTCTTCCAAAGATGAAAGCTCTCCTTTATAACTGAGCTCGTTCTCTAGCCCACTTCCAGCAGGTTCATCTACTCGAAATTCCAATTCAGTTTCTACAGCAGCAGATTCTTCTTCACGCAAATTTGCCGCTGATAACCGTAACAAGCAAGATTAGATTTGGACATGGATACCACAATCTAATATTACGCATGGTAAAAGAAGTTGAGATGTGTCTTCTGGATTTAGAAGCTTTGAGCTTCAGCCGGGGTTCCAAAAAATTGACGGATGAGAAAGTAGTACAGAATCCACATAGACTACAAAATAATATTTTTTTATATAAACAATTTAAAAACAGTCTTCACTTTCACGAGTACTAAGAAGATGGAGAAAAATATGTCTTTATATGTTCTTTATTTATCTATGTATTTACTTATTTAAAACCATCTAATTTCATGTTCTGCTATCCTTGCCAAAAATACGCATGCCCTGGGCTAAAACCTTTTCAGTAGTGGACAAGGTGTAAGGCAGCCGTAAGTATCACGTACGTGGTAGAATAAAGTCTCGACAAAAGAAAACTGCCATGCTTACTTCGGAATAATATTATCAAAGAAATGTTATCATTAAACTACCATCAATGAAAATTTATTAGCGCACCAAAACTGCCCACAAAATAATGAGGGTAGTGATGATACCTGCTCGTTTAGCCAACAACGCTTCCTGGGCTGTTTCCACCCACGGCCGCAAATCTTCATACAAATCTGCTAAGCCCAGTCCAGACTCTGCAGAGATAGCTACAGGTGTGCCAAAACCTAAACTGTAGGCCTCCCCCATGGCTGCCATAAGTGAGCCACTGGCATCATCATGCATTCCTTCAGCTTTATTGAGGAGGACCTTCACACGCACGTTTGGCGCAAGCTTGCGGAGCCACTTTCCAACTTCAGCATCCAGCGGCTGAACCCCAGATCTGTTCATAAATTCGCAATCAACTTAAATTCTTCATAACATTCTACAGGTTGAAAAAAATTCGACACAAAGTATGCTCCTCTCTCAAGAAAATTAGGAATTGAACAACCTGCCATCAACAAGAAAAAGCGCAATTTGACAATTCCGAAGTGCTGCAGCCGTGAGGCCCGCAGTCCTGTACAAGACACTGGCCGCCTCGGCATCTGTCTCCAGCCCTGCAGTGTCCATGACGCGAAACCGCATGTCCCCCAGCTTTGCCACGCCCTCCCGCACATCGCGCGTGACATGGCTGTCTGGGGTGTTGTAAACAAGCGCTTCCCGCCTCTTCGTCAACCTATCGTTGATCCAAGCATTGAATCAGCCTGTGGTCGTGCATGAAAAATCACATCAAAATCAAGCATCTTTGAAGCTCAATGTAAGGTTCATGTAACAACCTAATAATACTCCCCCACCTTCACTCCTCAACTAACCTGATTAAGTCCAATCACTACGCATTCCAATCACCTAAGAATGCTCAACTCACTCCACTTCTTAACTCAGTCACCCAAAATCTGAACTAACCAAAACTAACGAAAGCCACAAGGGAATCCATGAGCATCAAAAAAATTCGGGCAGATCACTTGAACGTAATGACATCGAAGCTTAAGGAAAATTTCTTTGAATGTAAATAAAACTGAAAGAAAACAACAACACACCACACATCTGAATTTGTGCTCTACGCACTAGTCAAGAGCTTCTACAAACTACACACCTGTTGAACAAAGCCGACTTCCCCACATTGGGCCTGCCAACCAGCAAAACCTTGGAAAGTGTGTCGATCGGGGGCTCAAGGAGGCGCTTCAAAGCCCGCTTCCCAGCCCCGCCGGCAGCAGCGCTCAGCTTTCCCATCTTCCTTACCAATTGTGCGCAATCCCAGTCTTCTCCACATCCCACTTCCTTCCCTACCCTAGACAGAAAAAATCATTCCCGAGACACTGCAACAGTTAATCTTCATTATGAACAACACCGACCGTTAAAGTTTTTCCACTTGAGCAATCTGGTGTCACAATTCTCGACCATGATGCACAATTCAGATGATCGATTGGCAGCAACGAGTGGCACACTCTCGGACCTTAAACCCTAAAATCGCCATAGTAGTTCGTCACTGGGGTTTAAGCTTGGGTCACTTCCACGGATGAGATGGATGGATGATATCTCGATTCATCGTGGATGGATGTTGGATGTATCGGATGAAATTCGATGACGTGTGGATGAATGATGGATGATACTGTAAGTCTGAACATGCAGGCCATATATGTGAATCTAACATAATTGTCATGAAATTAATATTTTTTGGATCATGAAAATTTCTCAAATTTTTTCAATCATCCTTACAACATTTGAATAGATTTCCAAGACCAATTGCATAAACTTATTATACTTGTAAATGTTTTTATTGTGGAATAAGTACATTTTATTACATTTCCTTTGGTTTTATGGGATGTTTCTCTACAATCATGATAAATTAGTTTGTTTCATTACGTTGCAACTATAATTTTTTCTTCCATTATTTTATGGGGAAATTTCCCAACTAATATATATATATATATATATATATATATATGGTGAGATTGGAATATATATATTATATTCCAATCTCACCATTTTTTATTTTTCGAAAAATAAATTAATGATAGAGCACGTACCTTGTGAGCATGCCAAATCAATAGTTATTTTTCTGTTTCTTTTTACTATTTTTGAATTGATAAAAGAATATATTCAACTAGCTTCTAAAACAAATCGAAAATGGTAAAATTAGTTTATTTAAAACAAACCACTTTAATCATGCCATTGTGTATTTGTAGTCTATGGCTCGTTAAGTTTATTTTATAAGTTGATGTTTGTATATCTTAACCATCTACTGTAATTTTTTCTTTTGCTTTTATGACTACACCTTAATAAATTCCATGTCAATTGTGCACATGGCTCGTTCCATTGTGTAAGATGTGAGGCAGGTAACAAAAATATTCGGCAGTTCTATTCAAAATCAATGTCTGATTTGAATTTTTCTAGAGATCTATTTTATCTTGTTTAGTTCAGTTTTTTATTTTTTATTTTTTAAATTGTTGATGGATTTTCATGTTTTTAACTAGTTAACACTCGGATTTTCACAATTCAATTTAATGATTATAATAAATATATTTGTTTGGATAGTTTAATCAAATTAAATCCTAAATTTGTGAAATACATGAAAACATTCATTGATTTGAGAACAGTACTTCAAGATTAAAATGCATAAGCTCATTCACGAGCCATTATGATTTGTGTAGACTTTGTTATATTTAACATGTTTACAAATATTTTTTCCCCAAAAACAATTCCATGACTTGTAGTTGTCGTTGTTGTTTTTGATTTTTGATTTTTTTCAAAACCGAAATCACTCTTGAAAACAAATATATCCTGTCATATAAATCACCGAAACAACATTCTCTCTTTCCAAAACATGACCAAATTGAACGTTATTACGGATATCGAATCATCACTGAAGGTACTAAGAAGCTCCAAATTTAACATAAAACGTGCAAGATAATATTATATAATAGTAAATAAGAATAACTATAAAATATAGTTCCACGATGTGCCTATTTGCAGCCAATAAAAGCTCCGTTTTGAGGGAGGGAGTGGTTATGGAGACGTGGAGCAGGTGGGGAAGGAGTAGGGAATCGGGATATGGCCCAGGTGACGAATGATATTAACACCTGAAGAGAACACCTGGATCAGGACGTGGATGGGGAGAGAGGAACTCTTGCAAGAGGAGTCATGGCTATGGCGAAGCGGGGCCCAGTCAGCCCCTGGGTCCTCCGCGTTGGTGAGCAAGGCTGTTTGATTGAGTAAGTGAATGGTTACTTCTCGGTGGAGTGCACATCGGACGCTAGTGCTCCCCTTAGAGTGTTCGATTCAAGCATGCTGTGTTGCATTTCAGGAGGAGGATCTGGAGCCCGTGCGATTGTGATTGCGAGGTTTTAAGGTCGGGGTTATGAGAGCGGCATTCTGATCTAGTGCAAGAGTGTGTAACCATGGCGGAGGCCGGGGGCGCCTTCGTGACGCGTGCGTTCGAGCGCATGCTCAAGGATTCCGCTGGCCGCAAATTTGGCAGCTTGCAAACTGCTCTGAAGGCGTATCTCGGTGAGTTTTGTACTTTTTATGGTGATCCAAGCGCTCTGGTTTTCGTCGCGTGAGAAGCTTGTGTGACCTAATGGAGTGACTGGGGTGTTCGCGAGAGTAGCGGATTTCCACACACGATGGCATTGCTTCTGCGGGTCCGGTTGGCGCCGGCCTGCATTTCGCAAGTGCGTTTTTGGGACCATTGGCATCGTTTTCGACGAATTCGCCACAAGTCGAGAAAATTCAATTGAGTGGATTTGCCTTGGATTTGCCTTGGGCGCAATTTGGGGTTTCTGTTCTCATCCTTGTAAAATATTCTGTGACCTGCGCGCGATGTTTCGAACATATTGATGGATGGAGGCCTCAGCAAATTTAAAATCAACTGTGTTCTACATGTGTAGACTCTCCGCAGTTGGCTGCGTAGATGCATGAGCAATGTCCTTTGAGAAGTCAACAACTTTCATGGAGTGAATTATCATTTGATTTGATATCATTCTTGGATGATTGTGAATTTTCAAGAACTTGTAGAAAGCAATGTCCCAAGCAATGGAGGGTGTAGCTCAATGAACATGTTTTTAGCTCTTCCTCGTAGCGTTCCAGACAACCAAGATCAATGTCAGGAATAGGTCACTAATTCGGGGGATTCTTGTAACATTGCAGAGGGGAAACCTGTGTCACCACCGCATGAGCCCCCTGAAGAGCCAGAGCCAGTTTTTCGAGATGAAATGTATGTTTTCGGGACAATATCAAATCACTCTTTCTTTGCGGTTCGCCCTGCTCTGTTTCGTGAGTTCCAATAACGAGTGGCTGAAGGCAGGCCAAATATGAATGTGGAAGCATATATGTTTTGGTCAAGCTTGTTGGTAGGATTAGAAACTGACAGCGAAATGCATCTTATAAAATCTGATGACACTGTGCAATTAAAATAAAAGAGTAAGCGGACCATTTTAAAACTAAGTTGCAACAGCTCTCGCATGCCATACATTATCTTTCTCTGAGGCGTTTGGGGAAATTCCTGTTAAAAAACATCAAGTGATCAGTCGTTTAGAAGAGGTCGCAGGTTAAGGGTCACGCTCAATAAAAGATACTCCGCTAAATTCCAAAAGGAGCCTAGTCATGCTGCAAAGAGCGTGTCCCAAGCTAATGGACACATAGTCCAAAAGTGATATAGTAGTAACAGGGTCGTTCCAGCGTGGTCATACTATTCCGCCGTTCCTTGACGACCGAAAATCAATACTTCCGTGGTGCTTCTAGTGACATGTACATAGTGGATGCAGATCCGTCGTCCAAGACAATCTCTCGGAAGGTGATCCATCAAGTCCTAAAGAAGCAGACGAGAAGTTTGAGGATACCAGCCCGGCCATATCTCCCGCCAAGCCCAGCACCGGACAGGCAGCTGCTGCAGCCCTAGCTGAGGCCGGACACATCCTAGAAGGTTCGGAAGCAGATTTGGTGATCCTGCCCTTGCGTCTCGCCTTTGAGACGAAGCAGTCCAAGCTTGTGGAACCAGCTCTAGACTGCCTACATGTAAGAACACACACCTGCTCTAGTAGTGCTCGGTCGGTCACTGTTGCGAGGTGTGCTAAGGACGTCACGGAGTGATTCTGCTCACAATGCCGTGGTCCATGATTTGTTTTGTGCGTTCCTCGTATTCGTGGTTGTCGATATATTTTCCCGTTTGTGCTGGTGATGGAGATTGGAATGTGGTGCCGCCAGCTTACTCCCGCAAGCTTGGTGATTGCGGTTTTCTTCTTCGCAATGGAGGATTTTTGCTTCGACTGACCCATCGATGGCACCATGTGTGTAGAAACTCATATCATACGGACATCTGGTGGGAGAAGCTGGTGTTGATGGAGGAAGGAATGCGCAGTTGGCAACTGAGATACTTAACATGGTCTGTGCTTCTGCTGACACTAGCGCACCCGACAGGTAAGATCCGCCTTGAAGCTAGTTGCGACGGGTGCTTGGGTGGGAGGCGTGCAATTTCAGCCAGTCTGTCTTTGTGTGTGTGATCTGGGGAACGGACTTGGCTCAGTTCACGTTCACACGCAGACTGTGGGCTAGCAAGTCACAACCTGCATTTGGTAGTGACTGGGCTCTTCCCGGACTGAGGATCGCAATTCTCTTTGTGGGATTACCCTGACATGTTACTCGTCATTTTGTGGGATGTGGTCTCACATGTGGTCTGGACTGTGGTGCAGTTTGGTCCTGCAGGTCATCAAGGTGCTTCTGACTGCGGTAGCTTCACCTACTTTTCAAGGTAAGGGTCCACCTGCTGTTGTGCAATTGAGGTGTAGCAGGCAGTTGTCAGTGGATGCTTTTGCTGACGGAAATGAAGAAATTGTTCGAACCAAAGTTGATCAGCAGTTAACTTGGCTGTACCTGCTGTGAAACTGCAGTGCACGGAGAATGCTTGTTGACCGCTGTTCGAACGTGCTACAACATCGTCTTGAGCAGGTAGGGTGCACGACAAAGGCAGTAAGCATCGCAAATGATGCTTGCCTGGATTGGTCGGTAAGAAGTGGTGGATGCGTGTCGGAGAGGTGTGATTTGGAAGCAAAGTTTTCCAGGTTAGGTCAGCGTGAGGTCCAAATACGCATGCATGTGATTTCGGTTTGGGGGTTGTGATTACGTCAGATTATTTAACACGAGGTACTGTGTGTTGCAGCAAGAACCCCGTGAACCAGGCGACTGCCAAGGCAACTTTGACCCAGATGATCAACATCGTTTTGAGGCGCATGGAGATCGATGTAGAGGTGATTGTGTGGACCCGCATGGCGTTTGTCGGTCGGTCATTGCATGGGATGGAACAGGATGTGGGAACGTGTCGTTTTCTGGAGTCGGTGTAATTGGTGCGCGCAAAGTGAGGAATTCGGTGGTCTGCCATACGAGGCACCGTGTTGTCGAATTTTGTTTTCAGCGTTGGTTAGCGTCGTCGTACGTAGACCGGAACCGTGCCTCGAGTTGGATGGTGACTGCCCAGCGTGTCCTGTTTGCTAAGAACCCGCACGTTGTACAGGCTGGCAAGAGTGTGGCACCGCCATCGGCACACGCAGGCGACGATGCACGTGCTGGTGGCTCCAACGATGAAGTCCCGGATGCCTCATCGAATGGACAGGTTGCTCACGGAGAAGATGGGCAGAGCACAGTAGGGCCAGCATTGACGTACAGCAGGACTACCACAATTCACATAGACCCGGAGACCGGGGAAGCAAGGAACGCAAGCACAGGGGAGACGATGGAAACGCCCCTTCGGTCACCTCGGCCAGTGCCAAGCACTCCTCCACCAGTGCCGATTTCGGAGTTCCAACATCTGGCGACTGAATCTGATCTCAAGGTATGCGGTTAACAACAACGCTCGTTAGGAGAAATTGTAGAAAGCCAGCATGGCATCATGTTACTTACCGTAGGCGCATTGATCCTAGGTGTTCTTCGTGTTCTCCAGCAGTCGGCAATGTACTTGTGATTCTTTCAGTGCTGTTATTTGGTTGCGCCGCTCTCGGTGGGTGGTTTGCCTCATTCGTCGTTGGTAGTATCGTGATGCTAAGCAGGTCCTGGACTTGTTGAGGTGGTTGAGCTGCTGTGGGAGTAAATGTGGGGTGCATGCGCTCTGTGCACGTGATATTGGGTGGGGTCGCGCTGCAGATGTCCTCCAGTAGTTTACGCAGCTGAGCTATTGCGGCGGTACAGTGTACGTCGTGGTTTTATAGTGCGAAGAGCTGAGGGAACGTGGTTGGGTGTGGATTTGCAGGGCATTGAAGCTGCATTGGACAAAGCCGTGACGCCCGAGGGAGCGATCAAGAACCATGAGTACGTGGTCTTGGGTGACCTTGTGAAGGGCCAAAGTGATGGTGGTGCTGTAGACATGTGTGATGGGTAGGGAATGTTTTCTGAACCGGTGGCATCATCCTGTTGATGTGGTGTGCATGTATGGGACGCAAACAGTGGAGGGGACTTGGACCTTTTGAGCTTGGGCCAGAAAGACGCTCTTCTTGTCCTCCGCACTATCTGCAAAGTAAGGCACAATTGTTCATTCCTGCTTGTGCCGTGTCTATCTTTCCATGCTATGATGGAGGTGCAGCGTGGTGATGTCGTTGATGAGCTGAGCGTGCAAGATGATGCGTGTGCAGATGGCTATGAAGGATGGGAGTGACGATTTTCTGAGTAGAACCAAGCTACTTTCTCTGGAGTTGCTCCAGGTGAGCTGTCGCGTACAATTTGAGTGTGTGTGTGTGTGATTGATAGGAAGGCAAGTGTGCGGTGCGGAAGCTTCGCCTGATGTGGAATGTAGGTTGAGGATGCATGCAGGCTGGTATAGATGATAGACGGGCGGAACTGATGAATCCAGCGGTTGCCTGCGATGCGTTGTCGGGAAATGATCTAAGAAGGTTCAACTTGGGGACGATGTTGGGATTCTCGTGCTTGGGGGATTTGTAGTGTGCAGCCGGTGATAGGTTATGGATTTTGGTAGCATTGTTGTGTGATGGATCCTGGACTGTTGTGCAGGGATGCCTGGAAAGTGTGAACCATGCTTTCACGACGAACTTCCCTTTCATTGAGCTCGTGAAAGCGTACCTATGCTATGCATTGTTGAGGTCGTGCGTTTCGCCAACCGCAGCAGTTTTCCAGGTGGGTGCTTGATATTTGTGTCGTCCTTGGGTTGGCGATGCAAGCGAAGCTGTTGCCCTGGAGCGGGTGGCCTAGGTGACGAGCAGACTGCGTTGGTAGAGTGCTGATTTTGTGAATGGAGCTGCTCTGTCTGACTGCTGGTTTTTCAGCAGTATGCAGACTTGAGCATGAGTTGGGGTGGAAACATGAACGTGAGAGGAGGCATAAGCCAGGCTGCATGGCGTATACTGCCGGGATCTTGTAGTGTGATTTATTGTGGACAGTTATCCCTGTACGTTACTGATGGACGTGTGTGGCATTGAGGCTCGGGAGTTGCTGATTTTGTGTGCTCTTGTACTGGCAGCTTGCAGTGAACATCTTTCTGATAATGATGCAGCGCTACAGGGAAAGCCTGAAGGTGAAGTTGTGGTAGATGGGGGTTCTGTTGTTCGCTCGTGAGTTGGAACGGGGGTCTCCGAGTGTGTTGAGATAGCAGAGCAGGTTTAGTGTGGAAGTGGATCTGAGTGTTGAGTGTTGAGTGGACGATTAAGACGAATGCGTGAGCTGTGTGCAAGGTGAACCTGGTCCAGTTTGGATCTGTACTCGGCTTGAGCAGCCTGTTTGAAAGAGTCGACGTACGGCGTGTCCGACATGGAGTGAATTTGCTGACAAACTGGGGTTGTTGGTGCAGGCGGAGTTGGGAATATTTTTCAACTTGATTGTTTTGCGGTCGTTGGAGATCGAGTGTTCGATTCATCAGAAGACGGCAGTGCTGAAGTAAGATTGGGTCCCCCGAATGAGGCTGGTTGGAGCAACCACATTTGTTTACGGGTCCCAGGGTTTGACGGAATGAATCTGCGGTCGTGTTTAGCAGTGTGGTGTTTGGATGCGGGTTACAAGCCTGATGTTTGATTGACAAGGCGAGGTCCAACGTGCATCTATGGTGGCGGTGCAAGCGGATTGAGTGTGGTGTGGTGTGTGGCACTGCAGGATGCTGGAGAAGGCTTGCAACGATCCGCAGATGCTGGCAGACATTTTTGTGAACTACGATTGTGATCTGGACGCTACGAACTTGTTTGAACGCATGGTATGGAGCCGAAACATGGTGCAAGTGCACGTTTGTTTGGTCTGGGACGGTCAGTGGTGCGTGAGGATGTGGTGATGCTGACATGTTGACAAGCGAGAATGTATGAGTTGATGACGGGCGATTGTCGTGGCCCGTTGTTGGTTTTGTGGCTGTGGAGGTTGTACGTGGTGTGGCATGTGCGGTTGGTTGATGCGATGTGTGGGGTGTGATGAAGGTGAATTCGCTATCGCGACTTGCCCAAGGGACGGCGAATGGAGATCCCAGCGCCGCGAATGCGTCGCAAAACATTGCGCTGAAAGCCTTGGCTCTTCAAGTGAGTGAAACTCGAGAATCTCGAAGGTTATGGGGGCTTGTTGTTTTGTCGTTGTCGGGTGGCTGGCATCTGACATCCAAGTGGTGCGTTGATCCACAGTGTCTGGTGAGCGTGCTGAGGTCACTGGGAACGTGGACATCGAAACAGAGGGGGAACAGGCCAGTGTTTCCCGACCTGACCGTCGCCGACGTGGAGGTTGACTCTGGTGGGGTGAACGGTGGCGGTACTGAGGCGGATGTGAAGGAGGACGCGAAGGTCGTGACCCAAGCGAATGAGTTCGAGAAAGCAAAAGCTCTGAAGGTCACCATGGAGAGCGCGGTTGCCAAGGTACCCGGCGGACTGCAACATTGATGACGAGGGCGGCATGGCACCTGCGTTGTGAAGCTATGATTTACGGATGCGATACTAGTGAGAGGACGTAGAACAGTACCAGTGGCGAGTGGGCAGGAGGGGTTGAGGAATAGTATTTTGTGGGATGATTGCTAGTTACTGGTGCGTGGGGTGTGCACATTTGGCTTCACAGCTGTTGTTCGTGCATCTTTCAAGTGTGACAGTGATGGAGTGAGCAGGTGAGATGTGCTGACACGGACGAGTTACTTGGTTGTACAGTTCAATATGAAGCCGTCAAGTGGGATCAAGTTTCTTTTCGAGCACAACCTGGTGGCCAAGGAGCCAAAAGCAGTCGCTCAGTTTCTAAGGGATTCTCCGGGGTTGGACAAGGTAATGATTTCGTGGCAGTTGGGAGTTTGCAACACACAGGATAGGCGTTGTCCGGGTTACCACGGATGTTGTTGCAAGGGGTATGTTGGTCAGATTACGGCCTGGATGGGAATGGGCTGCAACCTGAGGGCAGCACGAGGTGATTTGGATGTTGGAGTACAGTTTGCGTCATCTGGAGTGGGCGATGATGGTTCAGGCGGGATGGTAGTCGGTCCTGTGAAGGCGAAGAATGTTGGCAGAATAGCAGGCTGATGACGGATGGCAGAATAGGGGGCTGGATTGTGGGGCGACACGGGACAGTGTTTGGGGATTAGAGCGTGCGACTGGTGCAGTGTTGGAGGAGATGAGATTGTGACGTGATTGGGTGTGGGTGGTGCAGACGATGATCGGAGACTACTTGGGGCAGCACGAGGAGTTTCCGCTGGCAGTGATGCATGCATTCGTTGATGCACTGAGCTTTAAGGATATGAAGTTCGACAAAGCCATTCGGATGTTCCTGAACGGGTTTCGTCTTCCTGGCGAAGCGCAGAAGATCGATCGCATCATGGAGAAGTTTGCGGAGAGGTAAGCAGGAGGCGAGAGCGCGTGGCCGGGTGATGCGATGCACTTGACGGCAGAGACGGCGCTGTTGTTGGTTGTGGAGTTGAGATGAGGTTGTGGTTAGTTGCTGTGATGGTTGGGTGATGCATGTACTATTGACCGCAGGTACTGCCGAGACAATCCAAATCTGTTCAAGAACGCGGACACTGCGTACATACTGGCATATGCAGTGATCATGCTGAACACGGACGCCCACAACCCCATGGTGACCAACAAGATGAGCAAGTCCGACTTCGTGCGCATGAACTCGTCCAGCGACGTGGACGAACATGCTCCTGCGGTATGGGCATAGCGCATGGGCCGTGAACGCTTGGGCGTGTTTTGAACGTAGGGTTGTTGCAGTTGACGAGCGTGGGTCGGGAAACACGAGGATTTTGGGAGCGGTGTGAGAGTTTGTAAGTTTTGGGCGAGGTTTCGGGAGGTGTGCAACAGGGGGTTGTGTGGTGGAGGATACGGGTTTTGGGGATGTTGTGGTGGTGGTATTGGGAAGAATAGGGAAAAGCAGTAGGGGTGGGGAAGTGCAACTGACTTGTTTGATCACACGTGGCAGGAACTGTTGGAGGAAATATACGATTCCATAGTTCGAGAGGAGATAAAGCTGAAGGACGACGACTCGAAGAGGGAGAGGCCGGAAGAGAGAAGCTCGCTGGTGAGCATATTGAACCTGGGTGGATTTCGAGGAAGAGGTGCTGCCGATACGAAGAAAGAGAGCGACGAGTTGATCGAGGTGACGCAGTCGATATTCAAGAAAGCGGGGTTCAAGAAAGGGGTGTTCCACAAAGCGGAACACGAGGACCTGGCTCGTCCAATGCTGGAAGCCGTGGGATGGCCGTTGCTGGCAGCATTTTCTGTGACGATGGAGGACAGCGACAACAAGTCGCGAGTTCTGCTGTGCATGGAAGGGGTTCGACTTGGCATACACCTGACGAAGGCACTGGGAATGGAGACCATGCGCTATGCGTTTCTGACGTCTTTAGTGAGGTTGGTGTCTACCGACGTCCCGTAGGATTGTTTGGAGCGGAGATGGGTTGGTGTCGGTGTTGGTGTTGGAGTTGGATGTGAGCCGGGCGTTCACAGTGCACAGAGGGCGCGGGCGGGGACTATAGTGACATATGTGGCTGCGTGGTTTGTGGTGGCAGATTCACGTTTTTGCATGCGCCGAGGGAGATGCGATCGAAGAACGTGGAGGCTTTGAAGACGCTGCTATCTATGTGCCAGAACGAACCAGAGGCGTTGCAGGACACATGGAATGCTGTTCTGGAGTGCGTGTCGAGGCTGGAGTTCATAATCACGACGCCGGGGATGACATCGACGTTGATGCAGGGCAGCAACCAGATATCTCGGGATTCTCTGGTGCTTTCGTTGACGGAGCTGACAGGGAAGCCGACGGAACAAGTGTTTGTGAACAGTGTGCGGCTGCCAAGCGACGTGATCGTGGAGTTCTTTGGGGCTTTGTGCGGGGTATCAGCCGAAGAGTTGAGGCAGTCTCCACCGCGGGTGTTCAGTTTGACGAAGCTGGTGGAGATCAGCTACTACAACATGACGCGAATTCGAATGGTAAAGTGACTTGACCGAGGAGGAAGTGGATGAGAAGTGCAGTGAGAAGGGGGTTGGAGAACGTGAGAGGAGTTTGTTGCGCGGGGGTGAATTGTGAAGCATGGTTGCATGATGAGGAGTAAGATTGTGTAGGTGGGCGGCGTGCGCGTAGGACGTGGAGGTTGTGACGGCAGGGTGAAGGTGGAGGGTGTTGACAGGGTGCATGCGGGTGTGGGGTTCAGGTGTGGGGCAGGATATGGGCAGTTCTTTCGCTGCACTTCATTGCAGCTGGAAGTCATTCGGAGGAGAAGATTGCGATGTATGCGATCGACTCTCTGAGGCAACTGGCGATCAAGTATCTGGAGAGGGCGGAGTTGGCGAACTTCACATTCCAGAACGACATTCTGAAGCCTTTCGTGGTGATAATGCGGAGCAGCAAGAACCCGAGCATCAGGGCTCTGATCGTGGACTGCATTGTACAGGTAACGAGGTGTTGTGAACATGTGGTTGCGCGTGTGGGACGGGCATTAGCATGTCCGGAGTGGCAGCATGTGCGGGTTGGTGGGAAGTAGGCATCCCGTAGGTTTTGTGTGAGGGGGGAGGTTGGCGGTGGTGGAACGGTCGGCATTGGTGTGGTGAAGTGGCGGTGCGGTTGAAGTGGGCTTTTGGTCGGATAGGGATGTTCGGGCGGTAGAAGTAGGTGGGCTGTGCTGAGCAGTGGGAGGTTGTGTTCAGATGATCAAGTCGAAGGTTGGGAGCATCAAATCCGGGTGGCGGAGCGTGTTCATGGTGTTCACCACAGCCGCGTACGATGGCGTGGTGTCCATATCCGACGTTGCTTTCGAGAATGTGGAGCAAGGTATTGCGTGGTGGTGGATGCATTTGATGGGGGGTTGTGAGGGCGATTGGATTTGGGTTGTGAGATGGTGGAGATTGCAGGTGTGGAGGAGAAGATGGTGGGTCTGAGGGGTTGTTTTCTGGGTTGGGTTTGGTGCAGTTGTGCTGGAACACTTTGATCAGGTGGTGGGAGATTGCTTCATGGACTGCGTGAATTGCTTGATTGCATTTGCAAACAACAAGATCAGTCCACAGACGAGTCTGAAGGCTATTGCCCTGCTTCGAATCTGTGAGGATCGGCTGGCAGATGTAAGATGGGTGGTGGGTTGGGCGAATGCATTCGTAGGCAGTTGTGGTGCGAGCGTGAGGACGTTTGCGTTGTGGTTGAAGGTTGCGCGGGTCCGGTTGGAGGTGGTACGCTGTTTTGCGGACGATGTGGGTGCAGAGCAGGAGGTGGTGGCAAAGTTGTACTGAGAATGGTGAGGTGACGCGGTGTGTGCAGGGTCAGATAGCCGGTGGCGTGTCGAAGACAGGGGAGAACGGAGATCAGTCGGACCTGGAGGTAGCGGAGTACTACTGGTTCCCAATGCTGGCCGGGTTGTCGGATCTGACGTCGGATCCGCGAACGGAAGTGAGGAACTGTGCTTTGGAGGTTCTGTTCGACCTGCTGAAGGAGCGTGGGAAGAACTTTTCGGGACCTTTCTGGGACAGCGTGTTCCATCGTGTGTTGTTTCCCATCTTCGACTACGTTCGTCATGCTGGTAAAGATGGGGAAAAGCCGGCATCTGCAGATCAGTGGCTTCGGGAGACTTGCATACACTCGCTTCAGCTGTTGTGCGACCTGTTCAGCAGTTTCTACAAGGTGGGGTTGCATGGCAGCTTGTGTTGGGTGGTGCTGGTGGTGAATTGTTGTGGTGGCGGGGGTGGGATGTTTGGACGGGTAGTTGATGAGGCCAGAGGAGGTGTATGCACTGCTTCTGACGGGGCGTGTTTGAGTTGTGGCAAGAGGTTTCTTTTCTGTTACCGGCATTGTTGGGGTTGTTGCTGGACTGCGCTACTCGACCGGATCAAACATTGGCAGCAATTTCGATGGGTGCTCTGGTGCGGCTTGCTGAAGTTGGTGGACACCAGTTCAACGACAAGGATTGGAGCACTGTTCTGGACAGCATTCGGTAAGTATTGTGACGTGGAGGCATGTGGATTGAGGAGGGGAGTGGGGAGATAGAACGGGGTTTTTGTGAGGGCTCGGGGGGCGGTACATGTCAGTGAGGTTGTGCGGATGTGCATCTTTGGAAGGTGGAGTTGGTTGTAGCACGGTGGGTCGGGTGGGTGGAGTGGTGCTGTGACTGCGTTGATGGATGGGTTGCGTGGTAAATGGCGACACGGGTGGAAGCCGAGGCGTTCGGGTGCACGTGTACTCGACGAACCAACATTGGAGCGAACGCTCTGACAGCGCGTGCGGTGGTTGTGCAGGGATGCGTGTCAGAGCACCCAACCAGTGGAACTGATGAAGCCGGAGAGCATGGTGACGTTGGGGTCGGATTTGGTTTCGGGACCGGGCAGGCTGTCAATTGCGACCCCTCCATCGAGCATGCGAGGAGGTCACACCCCAGGCGGACAACCAGAGGCAGAGGCAGAGCATTCGGTAGCTCACGAGAACGGTGCGGTTGAAGGAACGCCGAAGAGCGTGAGCAACGGGGACGCATCGAAGATGAACCGTCGGTTGAGCTTCGATTCAGTGGCAGAGGAGCGGGTGGAAAGACTGAGCATTGCGGAGTCCGAAGGTAGCGATGGGGGTGACGGCATGGCGGTGCATAGATGGTGTGGAGAGGGGTGAATAGATGTGGGATGCATGGGTGTTGGAATGTTGTAGGTCGGTGGGTTGGTTGAATGAATGGGAAGCGTGGTGCTGTGCAGGTTTTGAAGCACCAGGTTCGGTGGCTTCTCCGAGGGACGCCAAGGCAGCGAATCTGGCGAGTGGGCGGACTTTCATGAGCAATGTGATGGACACACTGCTGATGAGGAACACGTCATTCAGGAGTGCGAAGAGCAAACCCACAGATGTTGGTGTGCAAAGTTCTTTGCAGGTAATGTGGTGGTTGAGCAGAACCTGGTGCAGTGTGGTGTGTGAAGTGTGGTGTAGGGTTACCGGGGTTGTGGAGGTGGTGAGGGAGGTGCATATGTGGTGTCGGAAAGTATAGAGATTGGGGTATGCAAAGGACGTGTCGAGAAGCGTGGCGGCGGGAGGCGTAGCGTGGACAGCGTCCCCTGAGTAGTTGGAGGCGTTAGGGGAAGAGGAGGTTTTGTGAGGGAAGGATCCATGGTTGAGCGTGGGGTTGTCTGACAAGACGAACGTTGGGTGTGCAGGATGTGGATGTGATGGAGCTTGGCCCCGACGGGAGCGAAGCAGAGAGTCCGTTTCTGCAGGACGTGAGGACGAAATGCGTGATACAGCTTTTGCTGTTGGGCGCGCTGGATAGTCTGCAGGTGAGGATATTTTTGAACGGAGTGGATGGTGGAGTGTGGTGTTGTTGCATTGGTGGTGTGATGTGGCATGTTTGGTGGAGATGGTCCGGTGGGGTGTGGTGGTGAATTTGACGTGCGTTTGCGTTGGACAGAGGAATCACTGGCAGAGATTACAGGCGTCACACAAGCGATTGATGATGGATACAGTGTTGTCGATGGTGGAATTCGCGGGTTCTTACAACAGCGACTCGAACCTTCGGAGTAGAATGCAGCATGTCGCTGGAGATAGGTGAGGTTCCGGGGGAAGTGGAAGGATGATGTTGTAGTGTGTGAAACGGGTTTGGTGCGGGTGGGAGTGGGCGATAGGAAGTGGGATCCGTGGTGGTGTTTGTTGACGTTGCAACGGAGGTTGTGGTGCAGGTCTCCTCCGAATCTGCTGCGGCAGGAAACCGAAGGCACGAAGATTTACCTTGCAGTGCTGAACAAGACCGCGAGCGGGGGTGGTGATGAAGCGAGGGATGATGAGATGACGGAGCAGGGTGGTGACGGTCCCAACAGTGGTGATACGACGTGGAAAGGTGGGGAGCAGGAGCTGAGAGAGGAGGCGGAGAGGCGGCTGGTGTCGTTTTGTGGGGACGTATTGAGAGAAGTGGCGACATTGCAACCGGGTCCAAGCGAGGCTGTGGAGTCCGACGTCCACCGAGCGCTTGATCTACGGTCACCGGTGACTGTGCAGGTAGTTGGTCGCACGCACATGGCATGGAGGTTGTGTGATGGTAGGGTGGGGCGCGCAAGGGCGTGTGAAGTCGGAAGGCTGGGGATGGGTGGAGGCGTTGCATGTGAGAAGTGGTGGAGTGGCGGCACATTTTGTTTTGGAGTTGTGAATGGAGAGTGAGGTGTCGAGTGGGTTTGGGAGAGTGGGTGTGGTGGGTGAGGGGAATTGAGGAACGGAGCGTTGCGTTGTGCAGGTTTTGAAGGCGATGAGGGAGATGGACAGAAGGCTGTTCAGGAAGCATCTAGAAGAGTTCTACCCTTGGTTTACCAAGCTTATCTGCAGTGATCAGGTACGAGCTTCTCGTGAACCGTTGGCGTGTGTGGATTGGTGGGCAGTGTCGTGGTGGTATGCAGTATTGAGTAGGCGGGGTGGTGTTCCGGAAGTGGTTGTGGTTGATTGATGAGGTTGTTGGAGGTAGGGGATGGAGATTTGATGGGCAGTTGGCAGTAGATTGTGTGGGGGTAGAGTGTTGGTGCAGTGGTTTTTTGAATCCTGGATGGATCATGGTATATGTTTGTGACGAGCGGGTGGTTGCAGTAGACTGAGAGTGTGGATGGCGGTTGTGCAGATGGACGTGAGGAGAGCTCTGGGAGAGTTATTTAGGGTGCAATTGGTGGCACTTCTGCCGTGATTGTGGGTAGGATGGGGGCATTAGGTGGGGGGGGGGGAGTGGAGCAATTTGGAGGGTGGGTTGTTGTTGATAGAGAAGTAGGTGTGAGCGACATTGGACAGGCGATTGTCCGTTGTAGATGATAGAGTAGTGGAGACGGAACCATTATTTGAGAGGCAGAATTGTTTTGCGGAGCAAGGATACCTTGGCAACGTGGGAGGGGCACTCGCGAGTGCGCTGGAGTATTGTCCAGTGTTGTGGACCCCGTGCAGTAAAGATTGGAATTGCTTCTGAATCGAGAGCAGCAGGAGGTATTCGAGTTGGTTATTGTTGTTTAGGTTCAGTTGTTGCAGATTACCGATCTCATGATGATTGTCCGAGTTGATGAGTCCTAATACCTTTTTTCGTGGTCTGGTTGGTTTGAATGGTGTGGTGGCTCTAGGTTTGGCTTAATGTTCTTGTGATCAGGATGGATTCAGCACATGACTGTTGATGCAATTTTGGAGGTTTTGGTGATCGTTTTACTACAATGCAATAGATGTCATCTTGTGCGTTTGTTGGATTCGTCTTGCCTTTGATAGTTGGCAACACATTATTGCTAGGGATTGTATTTATGTTGCCAATTTTCATTAGTGCTTCCATGGAGTGGTCTTCCATCCTATGCAATTCTCTCATGGTTTGTTGAAATGATCATTGGGTTGGGTTGTGAAATTGGTGCAATGTAAGTTTAGGGAAGTTGATCAATACGTAATGTGGTTCAAAGTGTTATGTTATATTTATAACTATTTTTTTTGGAAGTAAGTATTGCATTTTGTAATGTCTCATCCAGTAATATTTGATCTTACTTTGATGCTGCTCATTGTATTTTTTGGAAACCATGCTATATATTTGTAAATCACAAATTATTCTTTTCAAAAATAGTTTTTATTCCAAATCACTTATTTCTATCATTTTAATTTAATGTAATGTGGTGTAGTAGTATGTATTTTTGGAATTTTCAAACAACAAGAAATATAAATAAATAAAATTAGATTGAAATGCAACAAACATTTAATTGAAATAAAAAACATAATTTTTTTTAAGGAAAAATATTATATGTATCCTTGAAATATGTTGAAATATTAAAATTACTCTTGGATTCTTGGTAATAGCAAATCTATTCCTTATTTTTGTGAGAATTGCAAATCTATCTCCAAATGTGATAAAATATTACCATTCTTTCCTTTTTAGGTGCATTTTGGGGTCCAAATTGTATGTTGCACAGATTTTGGAGCTACCTTTTTTGGCACATTTTGTCTCCTACTCTTTTATCAATATCTGAGTGTTGTGCAAATTTGTGGGAATGTGTTAAAATCTATAACTAGGTCAGCATGTACAAGCAACAATGAATAGGAAAGAAATAAGAATTAGTTGCAGTTTGTTGTGAGTGTTTTGTTTTAGGGTTTGGTGCAAATGATGTCCACAAGGGAAGAGATGTTTGATGTAGGATATGCATTAGTAAAGAAGAAGTAGAAAAACTTTATAGAACTCTCTCTCATAGTATATGCCAAGAGCAAAGGGATAAACTTGGTTTGCATGGATTTTCACAAATCTCCCAAGGATTAGGGGCCTTTTTTATGTGATTATACACAAGCACATAGAAGAAGTATAGATGTAGCAACTATTGCAATATAAGTATTGGCACTCAAATGTGGTGATTACAAATCCTTTTGTTGCAATTACAAAGTTGCAAAATCCCATTTCTATACTCTAGGCTATAAAACATCTACAAATTTCTCCAAGTTTGGGAACTTGCAACATTTTTAAACAATTAATTGTCAACAATGTAAAAATACTTCATGATGAAAGTCCTTTGAATCAATTGACTTTCCCTTGTGATTGCAAAGCCCATGGTGGCAAATGGAAGTGCCAAGTCTCATGCCATGTTTGTACTCAACATGTGGAGTCTCAACAAACTGAAATCTCTAATGGTGCTACAAGAATTTGTGAACTACAATACAATGATCTTTAAAATATATATTGTAGGAAAATATGTCAAGTACATGAAGCAAAAGTCACTCTTTGACATACACAAAGAACAAGTGAGTACCGACAAATCCTTATTTATTTATTTATTTATTTATTTATTTCATATTTTGAATATGATTTCAAGAACCAACATAGACAAGAATATTACTAATGTTGAGCTTCGACCTACAAATTTCATAGAAAACGTGACTAATAGGTTGAAAGAAGCTCTTGGACTATATTTTTTTGATTTGATATTATCAAGGATTTCAAGGCTAGTAACCATTTTCACTTCATTGACATCAATTACTTTTCTAGGTATTCAAAAATGCCATCCTATAAAACTGTCTCCACAAACTTTTACTAGATCTCTAGCATACAAAAGCCTCTAATATCAACTTTGGTTTCATGTCTTTGGCTTCTATTGCCAATAAACTTAGAGTTGTTTACATGCGACACCAAAAAGTACTAAAAAGGATCCCAAATATACCTAAAAATAGAAGAGTAGTGATACCTTATCACATTTAAAGATAAATTTGCTATTATCACAAAAGTGAGAGGTAGATTTGCTACTTTCAAGTATAGAGGGATATTTTTGATGTTTCAACATATTTGATGAATATATATGATATTTTTTTTTTTCATAGAAAAGATATTGTGGTTGTCGTTTTTCTTATTCTATAATTCTTTTCAAAATAAACCTGTATAGGGGAATTTGAACACAGGGAAAGACTAAGTGCATGAGTTTTACTTGTTAGGGTCACACAATTAACTGTATTCCGAACCACTAAAATACTAAGAAACACTACAATGCTTTCTCCTAGTAACAATACTCCTTCATCAACTGATAACAACAATGTGCAATCATGCACTCTCAAAATACTGCTCAAAACACAATAATTTCCATCCAACACCAGGAATAACAGATTTCACTCCAACTAATCTAAATTCACATAATTTCTATAATTACAGACTTCCTCTGTCGAAACACACACAGCTCTCAATAAACAATAGTCCTAATCTTCCAATAATTCATATAATTCAATCACTGAGTACTCCAATTACATAATCAATAACTCATAAATCAATCTCTGATTTATTCCACAGACTCACTTCTCAGTATTGAAAAACTATCCATTACTCTTCAACAACAAAGAAAAAAAACAAAGAGACAAAGAGGTAGCACCAAGCTTATCCCGGCTCATGACTATCACAATTTGGCCCTCATACTAACTTCTACAACTCCTATATACTTACTCACTATTCCCAAATTCTAACCGTAATCACGTAATTAACTGCTTTTAATAACTAAATCAATCATCAGTCCTCTTGAACTGACTATTCTATGGACTATTAGTCTATTTTATCAATATCTTACAAAAACGAATTAATATCTATTCTACATAGCCCCACTCCTATTTGTGCAGTGTCCTCGCAAACACACAATTATTACCTATCTAAAAACTACTTAACAAAACTCTATAAAGTTACTATTTCCTATGGCCTATCCAATTGATCATTTGTTACATTATATAATGTGGATTCCACCAATTCTGATTCTAAATTCAAATCTTCTTCCTCCTCCAATCTGTCCATCGACTCCTTCCTCAACTGGTTTGAGAGATCTTCATTATACTCTCCCAATTCACGGACTTGAGCCTCTAGTTTCAAGATCTGGGCATCACGGAGTTCCAACTGATGCTGTAGTTGATTCATCTATTCTTGAACATCTTCAATTGTCACTTGTGACTGTAACAACACCACAGAATGATTTCTTATTGATGCCCCACTCCTATTCTTTTATTACTTGGTGATAATGACAACAGGTTATGCATATTGTCCGTTTCTCACCTACGTCCCATCTGACACATTAATAATTACTAACTATCTTTTCAGCCGCATCTACACCTTAATGCACTTATACCATACCTAGGTCTATCCCGAGTCCATTCGAAGTCACCTCTCCCCAAAAAATGAATACCCGTCCTAGATTTTATGTATTAAATAACTGTAATCGGTTCCCATTAATGCGGGTACTGAATCGATGGTGCACGAAATCCTCTAGTTGAATAGACCCATTAGAAAAACCTTCAATCACTCGATACAGCCCATGCCAGCGAACTTGAAATTTATCTGGAAAATGATTAAACCAGCTATCATACAGTAATTCCAAATCATTGGGCATAAAATTCTTCGGACGCAGTTTACTATCATAGTAACTCTTTCTCTGTTTTTGACTTGCTTCCATGCTAAAAAGAGCTATAGCTCGTATTTCATCTAATTCGTCCAATTTTACCAACTAAGAGTAGAACGACTCCTTGTCACTGAGACATTCATCCAAGGCAATTCGTAAACTTTGAACCTCCAACTTGATAGGTAAAATTGTCTCTTTGCTATAAACTAATTGAAACAGAGTAGTGTTGGTAGTTACTTTATATGCGGTACGACATGCCTACAAAGCTGCAAAAAGTTTGGTCTCCCAATCGGTACTCGCCTCCAAAATTGTCTTAGTCAAGACCTTGTACAAAATTTCGTTGGTCTTTTCTATTTGCCCACTTGCTCGAGGATGATATGGAATAGTTTTTCGATGCTTAATCTCATATGTGTTCATCAAGGTAGTTGTAGAATAAGTAGTTATTTGCTGAATTGTAGATACTTAGTTTATAGTGTAAACATGGATAGATGACTGTTGAAAAGGTAGTTCAGTAGGTAAAATGGATGAATAGTTAGAAAAAGCAGTTTTCATTAGAAATGTAGCAGTTGGTATCTTGTGTTAGCCTAAGGAGGATGGGAGAGAGGAAGTAGGGGCCAGACTGTGATAGTGTGAGCCGGGGTAAGCTTGGTGCTACCTCTTTTCTTTTGTTTGTTATTTTCTTTGAATAAGAAGATTAAGAGTTTCTGAATATTGTGAAAGTGAATTATAAAATGGAAGTATGATTGTTATTAAATGGGAAGAAAAAAGATTGAATGCTGAAATCTGATTGTAGTTCAGCGGAAAGAATGAGTCTGTGTTTGTGTGAAACACTATAATGTGAAGGCAGTTAATGGTGAAGAATTCCAGAGTTTGGATTATAGTATGATTATGTCCTGTCATTTAGGATAGTGCGGGATTACACGTTATTGTTATCAGTGATGGTGGAGTATTATTAGGAAGTGGAAAGCATTGTAGTGTTTCCTGGGTGTTTTAAGTAGTACGGAATACAGTTAATTGTGTGACCCTAACGTATAAGCTCATGCGATATTCTTTCCCTGTGTTCGAATCCCCCTATACAGGTTTACTCTGATTAG